AGCAAGGAATTGCCTCAGTCTCCTTGGTCACATGGCGGCCTGCACACACGTGGTCCAACATGCCAGGCTGAGACTCAGATCTCTGCAGACGTGGCTCACTTCGACATATCGCCCAGGGTGCGACAGCCTGGGACTAGTGGTCACAGTGACATAGCAGGTGCTAGAGTCACTCCAGTGGTGGCTTGATGCTCAAATAGTCTGTAAAGGAGTCCCCTTCAGCAGCCCTCAGCTGTCCTTGTCTCTAGTTAAGGATGCATCAGCAATAGGTTGGGGTGCACATCTGGGATATCTGCGAATGCAGGGCCTCTGGTCACAGGATGAGCTTTTTATCCATATCAATATCAAGGAGCTCAGAGCGGTGTGATTCACATGCCAGGCCTTTCAGTCTTGTCTGCAAGTCCAGCCACATGGCCGTCATGACCGACAATACCACTGCAATGTTTTAAATCAACAAGCATGGTGGAACCTGGTCCTCGCCCTCTGTCAGGAGGCTCTCAGTCTGTGGGAATTCTGTATAGCCCACTCCATTCACCTGGAAGCATCATATCTGCCAGGAGCCCAGAACTTACTGGCAGACCACCTCAGCAGGTCCTTCCACAGCCAGTCTATCTGGCTAGACTTTACTCCATCTTCCAGAGGTGCGGGTTTCCCCAGGTCGACCTTTTCACCACTCAGAGCAACAGGAAGTGCCCAGTTTTTTTCCTTCCAGAAAAGCAGCCCGGGCTCAATCGCAGACACATTCCTGCTACCCTGGGGAGGCCGTCTGCGCTACGCCTTTCCCCCAATCACTCTTGTGCACAAGGTCCTGCTCAAGGTCCGCAGAAACGGGGCAAAGATCATAGAATCATAGAATATCAGGGTTGGAAGGGACCTCAGGAGGTCATCTAGTCCAAGCCCCTGCTCAAAGCAGGACCAATCACCAATTAAATCATCCCAGACAGGGCTTTGTCAAGCCTGACCTTAAAAACTTCTAAGGAAGGAGATTTTACCACCTCCCTAGGTAACGCATTCCAGTGTTTCACCACCCTCCTGGTGAAAAAGTTTTTCCTAATATCCAACCTAAACCTCCCCCACTGCAACTTGAGACCATTACACTTTGTCCTGTCCTCTTCTACCACTGAGAATAGTCTAGAACCATCCTCTTTGGAACCACCTCTAAGGTAGTTGAAAGCAACTATCAAATCCCCCCTCATTCTTCTCTTCTGCAGACTAAACAATCCCAGTTCCCTCAGCCTCTCCTCATAAGTCATGTGTTCCAGACCCCTAATCATTTTTGTTGCCCTCCGCTGGACTCTTTCCAATTTTTCCACATCCTTCTTGTAGTGTGGGGCCCAAAACTGGACACAGTACTCCAGATGAGGCCTCACCAATGTTGAATAGAAGGGAACAATCACGTCCCTCGATCTGCTGGCTATGCCCCTACTTATACATTCCAAAATGCCATTGGCCTTCTTGGCAACAAGGGCACATTGTTGACTCATATCCAGCTTCTCGTCCACTGTCACCCCTAGGTCCTTTCCTGCAGAACTGCTGCCGAGCCATTCGGTCCCTAGTCTGTAGCGGTGCATTGGATTCTTCCGTCCTAAGTGCAGGACCCTGCACTTATCTTTGTTGAACCTCATCAGATTTCTTTTGGCCCAATCCTCCAATTTGTCTAGGTCCCTCTGTATCCTGTCCCTACCTGCCACCGTATCTACCACTCCTCCTAGTTTAGTATCATCCGCAAATTTGCTGAGAGTGCAATCCACACCATCCTCCAGATCATTTATGAAGATATATGAACAAAACCGGCCCCAGGACCGACCCCTGGGGCACTCCACTTGATACCGGCTGCCATCCAGACATGGAGCCATTGATCACTACCCGTTGAGCCCGACAATCTAGCCAACTTTCTACCCACCTTATAGTGGTAGTAATATCCAGCCCATACTACTTTAACTTGCTGACAAGAATACTGTGGGAGAAATACTGTGTCAAAAGCTTTGCTAAAGTCAAAAAACAATATATCCACTGCTTTCCCTTCATCCACAGAACCAGTAATCTCATCATAGAAGGCGATTAGATTAGTCAGGCATGACCTTCCCTTGGTGAATCCATGCTGACTGTTCCTGATCACTTTCCTCTCATGTAAGTGCTTCAGGATTGATTCCTTGAGGACCTGCTCCATAATTTTTCCGGGGACTGAGGTGAGGGTGACTGGCCTGTAGTTCCCAGGATCCTCCTTCTTCCCTTTTTTAAAGATGGGCACTAGATTAGGCTTTTTCCAGTCGTCCGGGACTTCCCCCTATCGCCATGAGTTTTCAAAGATAATGGCCAATGGCTCTGCAATCACAGCTGCCAACTCCTTTAGCACTCTCGGATGCAACGCATCCGGCCCCATGGACTTGTGCACGTCCAGCTTTTCTAAATAGTCCCGAACCACTTCTTTCTCCACAGAGGGCTGGCCACGTACTCCCCATGCTGTGTTGCCCAGCGCAGTAGTCTGGGAGCTGACCTTGTTCGTGAAGACAGAGGCAAAAAAAGCATTGAGTACATTAGCTTTTTCCACATCCTCTGTCACTAGGTTGCCTCCCTCATTCATTAAGGGGCCCACACTTTCCTTGGCTTTCTTCTTGTTGCCAACATACCTGAAGAAACCTTTCTTGTTACTCTTAACATCTCTTGCTAGCTGCAGCTCCAGGTGCGATTTGGCCCTCCTGATTTCATTCCTACATGCCCGAGCAACATTTTTATACTCTTCGCTGGTCATTTGTCCAATCTTCCACATCTTGTAAGCTTCTTTTTTATGTTTAAGATCCGCAAGGATTTCACTGTTAAGCCAAGCTGGTCGCCTGCCATATTTACTATTCTTTCGACACATCGGGATGGTTTGTCCCTATAACCTCAATAGGGATTCTTTGAAATACAGCCAGCTCTCCTGGACTCCTTTCCCCCTCATGTTATTCCCCCAGGGGATCCTACGCATCAGTTCCCTGAGGGAGTCAAAGTCTGCTTTCCTGAAGTCCAGGGTCCGTATTCTGCTGCTTACCTTTCTTCCCTGTGTCAGGATCCTGAACTCGACCAACTCATGGTCACTGCCTCCCAGATTCCCATCCACTTTTGCTTCCCCTACTAATTCTTCCCCGTTTGTGAGCAGCAGGTCAAGAAAAGCTCTCCCACTAGTTGGTTCCTCCAGCACTTGCACCAGGAAATTGTCCCCTACATTTTCCAAAAACTTCCTGGATTGTCTGTGCACCGCTGTAGTGCTCTCCCAGCAGATATCAGGGTGATTGAAGTCGCCCATGAGAACCAGGGCGTGGTGGCACCAGCATGGCACCAGTATAGCCTCAACAACACCGGCACACCACGCTTCTGGATCTGTCAGTCGACACTCCGATCACGTTGCCGCTCCTCCCCGACTTGATCACTCAGGACCACGGTCGTCTTCGTCACCCAGACCTCCGGTCCCTCCTCCTTGTGGCCTGGAAGCTTCATGGCTGAATCCTATGGAGCTCCTGTGCTCGGAGCAGGTAAGGGAGGTCTTACTCTGCAGCAGAAAGCCCTCCACGAGGACCACATATCAGGCGAAGTGGAAGAGGTTCACTTGCTGGTGTGACCAGCGTCATATGCCCCCACTTCAGGCACCATTACCTCTTATTCTGGAGTACATTCTGCATCTGAAATAGCAAGGCCTCGGAGTGTCATCCATAAAGATATACCTAGTGGCTTTCTCGGCTTTCCACCCCGGAGCCTCTGGACGCTCCGTCTTCGCCAACCCCATGGTTGGATGGTTCCTCAAGGGTCTGGACCAGCTACATCCCCAGATTAGACAGCCTGTTCCTGCGTGGGACCTTAATTTGGTCCTCTCCGTTGGTGACTTGCTCCCTTCTCTACCTATCGTAGAAGGTGGCCTTCCTAATTGCCATCACATCAGCAAAAAGTGTGTCTGAGTTAAAGGCCCTTACCTCCAACCTACCTTACACAGTTTTCCACAAGAACATGGTGCAGCTCAGCCCTCACCCGGCCCTCTCTGCCTAAAATGGCATCACATTTCCATACTAGCCAAGACCTATTCCTGCCTGTTCTTTTGTCCGAAGCCTCATACCAGGAGCCATGAGCAGAGGCTGCACTCCTTGGATGTTTGACAAGCATTAGCCTTCTATATTGAATGCACCAAGCCATTCAGGAAATTGAACCAGTTGTTCATAGCAGTGGCTGACCGCATGAAAGGCCTACCAGTCTCATCACAAAGAATATCTTCCTGGATCACGTCCTGCATCCACACATGCTACAAGCTGGCCAAGACACCAGCCCAGGCACTTACTGCACACTCCACAAGGGCATAGGCCTCATCGGTGGCATTCCTGGCCCAGGTCCCAATCCAAGAAATCTGCAGGGCAGCAACTTGGTCCTCCGTTCATACGGTACCTCTCATTACGCCATTGTCCAGCATGCCAGAGATGATGCAGCTTTTGTCAGAGCGGTGCTCCAATCTGCGATTCCATAACTCTGACCCCACCGCCTAGGTAAGGCTTGGGAGTCACCTAATTGGAATCGATATGAGCAATCACTCGAAGAAGAAAAAACGGTTACTCACCTTCTCGTAACTGTTGTTCTTCAAGATGTGCTGCTCATATCCATCCCAAACCCACCCGCCTTCCCCTCTGTCAGAGTAACCAGCAAGAAGAAACTGAGGAGGTGCCGGGTCAGCAGGGTCATATATTGAGTGCCATGAAGGCGCCACTCTAGGGGGTTCCACGGCCAACCCAACGGGTGCTGCTAGGGGGAAAACTTTCCTACGACTGTGCGCGCGGCGCACACACACACCTGATGGGAAGGGATATGAGCAGCACATCTCGAAGAACAACAGTTACGAGAAGGTGAGTAACCGTTTTTTATCATGACTCCTGGATAAGCTTCATGGATGTGATCGCAAAGTGACAATGAAGCTTGCTGGATGTGCATGTACAGCAACATGTGTGAACACTATTTTAATTAAAATATTTGTTTCCCTTTGGTAGCCAGAAGTGCAACTTGCTGAAGGCTTTGATGTCTTTATGCCCAAATCTCAGCTGGACTCTATTTTGTCAAACTATACTCGCTCAGGAAGCCTGCTGTTTAGGAAGCTGGTGTGTGCATTTTTTGATGACAAGACCTTGGCTAACTCTTTACCCAATGGCAAGAGGAAAAGAGGACTCAATGACAACCGAAAAGGACTAGACCAAAATATTGTGGGTGCAATAAAAGGTATATTTCTGCTTTGTTTCCTGTATATACATATCTCCATCCTTAGCTGAGAATATGCTCTAGTCATTGAGTAATGCCAGGACCTTAGAATCCTTGGCATTTGGGTCAGAAAAATGTGCATTCTTCTTTTTATAATTTTTCCATAATTTCTGATTAAGCTAGAGGCTCATGCCTAGGTCCCCAGCCCCTGAAGACATGTGATGAGATAAGAATCTCAATTTAAAATTTTTTTTTCTGGCCTTCATGGATGTAAAGAAAAACACTTGATATCCATTTTGAGTCAGAAGACAGCCTGAAACAATTGCTCCAACTAGAGAAATGCACTGCTCATTCATTAGATTGAAGCCTGCTGCCACTACATGGAGATGTGGGGTCATGGGAGAACTCTCCTGAGTTTTACCTTGGGTCCCTGATTGCCATAATTCTGCCTTGGTCCTTCCAGATCAGGGTAGAGGCACATTGGCAGGGTAGAATCGAAAAGCTTGCTGTGCACCTGACAGTGTCATATCTGGTCTATGAATAACTGGATTAGTAGTTTGTGGCTGGCAGTGAGGTGGGAAAGATCTTATTGAGGAAAATCTAGTAAAGGAAATGAGTTTTGTATCTAATTCTGATGTCAGTGAGGTTGTGGACCCGCTTGTCTTGTGAGAGTGAGTTCCATAGTCTAGGTCAAGCTACTGTGAATGTTCTGTCCACCTCTGAGTTGTCTTCCCCCATTGACAATCAGTAGAATATAGCTGCAAGAGGAAATTATGGTCCAGGGCTTTGAGTATTAGGACAGAGACTCTGTATTCAACTTAATCAGGGATCTAGTGCAGAAAGGGGTGATCTGTGGTAAGTGGACAGGCTGCTACATTTTGTACCATCTGGAGCTTTTAAAGTACATGTGATTCATTCCTAGTTATGAGTGGCTATTAGCTAATCTGGAAGTTAAGAATATATGGACTATGGAGACCTGGGAGAAGGGTCAGAATCTGGGCCATTATAGCAGGGACAAGGGAGAGACAAGAGGAAACATAGAGGGGAAATCAAATCAGCGTCTTAGATATCTATATACTAATGCAAGAAGGATGGGGAATAAACAAGAAGAACTAGAAATGCTAGTGAATAAACACAACTATGACAGTTGCATCACAGAGACTTGGTGGGATAATACACATGACAGGAATATTGGTATAGAAAGGTACAGTTTGCTCAGGAAGGACAGGCAGGGGAAAAGGGAGGAGGTGTTGCCTTGTATATCAAAGATATATGCATTTGAACTGAGGCGGAGATGGAAGTAGGAGACAGACTTGTGGAAAGTTTCTGGGTAAGGATAAAAGGGGTAAAAACCAAGGGTGATGTCATGGTAGAGATCTACTACAGACCGCCTAACCAGGAAGAAGAAGCTGGATGAAGCTTTTTTTAAACAATTAACAAAATCATCCAAAGCACAGGACTTGGTGGTGATGGGGGACTTCAGCTACCCAGACATCTGTTGGGAAATAACAACAGTAGGGCACAGATTATTCAACAAGTTCTTGGAATGCATTGCAGACAATTTTTTATTTCAGAAGGTGGAGAAAGCAGCTATGGGAAAGCCTGTTCCAGATTTGATTTTGGAACTGGTTGAGAATTTGAAAGTGGAAGGCAGCCTGGATGAAAGTGATCATGAAATGATAGAGTTCATGATTCCAAGGCATGGTAGGAGGAAAAACAGCACAATAAACACAATGGATTTCAAAAAGGCAGACTTGAGCAAACTCAGAGATTTGGTAGGTAAGTTTCCATGGGAAGCAAGTCTAAGGGGAAAAATAGTTTGAGAGAGCTGGCAGTTTTTCAAAGAGATATTATTAAGGGCACATGAGCAAACTATCTTACTGTGTAGGAAAGATAGGAAGTCTGGAGAGAGACCACCCTGGATTAGCCAGGAGAGCTTCAATGATCTGAAACTCAAAAAAGAGTCCTACAAAAAGTGGCAACTAGGTCAAATTACAAAGGATGAATATAAACAAATAACACAAGTATGTAGGGACAAAATTAGACAGGTCAGGGCAAAAAACTAGATTAAACTAGCTGTAGACCTAATGGGTAACAAGAAAATATTCTACAAATACATTAGAAACAAGAGGAAGACCAAGGACAGGGTAGGTCCATTACTCAGTGAGGGGGAACAGACAATAACAGAAAATGTAAATAGGGCAGAAGTGTTAAATTACTTTTTTTTGTTTCAGTTTTCACCAAAAAGTATAGGAGTGATTGGCAGTCAAACATAGTGAATGCGAGGGAAAATGAGGTAGGATCTGAGGGCTAAAATAAGGAAAGAACAAGTTAAAAATTACTTAGACAAGTTAGATGTTGTCATTTCACCAGGGCCTGATGAAATACATCCTAGAATACTCAAGGAGCTGACTGAGGAGATATCTGAGCCATAAGCGATTTATCTTCGAAAACTCATGGAAGACAGGAGAGACTCCAGAGGACTGGAAGAGGGCAAATATAGTGCCAAATCTATAAAAAGGGGAATACGGACAACCGGGGGAATTACAGACCAGTCATCTTAACTTCAGTACCCAGAAAGATAATGGAGCAAGTAATTTAAGTAATCAATTTGCAAACATCTAGAAGATAATAAGGTGCTAAGTAACAGTCAACATGGATTTGTGAAGAAAAAACATGTCAAACCAACCTAATAGCTTTCTTAGGGTAACAAGCTTTGTGGATGGGGGAAGCAGTAGAAGTAGATGTTATATCTTGACTTTAGTAAGGCTTTTGATACTGTCTCGCATGACCTTCTCATAAATAAACTAGGGAAATGCAGCCTAGGTGGAGATACTATAAGGTGGGTGCATAAATGGTTGGCAAACCATTTCCAGAATGTAAATCAGCGGTTCACAGTAAAGCTTGAAGGGCATATCGAGTGGGGTCCTACAGGGATCGGTCCTTGGTCCGGTTCTGGTCAATATCTTCATCATTGATTTAAATAATGGCATAGAGACTACACTTATAAAATTTGCAAACAGTAGCAAGCTGGGAGGGGTTGCAAGTGCTTTGGAGGATAGGATTAAGATTAAAAATGATCTGGACAAACTGGAGAAATGGTCTGAAATAAATAGGATGAACTTCAATAAGAAGAAACGCAAAGTACTCTACTTAAGAAGGAACAATCAATTGCACATACAAAATAGGAAATGACCACCTAAGAAGAAGTACTGCAAAAGGGCTCTGGAGGTTATAGAGAATCGCAAGCTAAATATGAGTCAACAGTGTAACACTGTTGCAAAAAAAGCAAATATCATTCTGGGATGTATTAGCAGGAGTGTTGTAAGCAAGACACGAGAAGTCATTCTTCCACTCTACTCTGCGCTGATAAGGCCTCTACTGGAGTATTGTGTCCAGTTCTGGGTGCCACATTTCAGGAAAGACGTGGACATACTGGAGAAAGTCCAGGGGAAAGCAACAAAAGTAATTGAAAGTCTAAAAAGACATGAGCTATGAGGAAAGATTGAAAGAATTGGGTTCGTTTAGTCTGGAGAAGTGAAGACTAAGGAGGGACATAACAGTTTTCAAGTACATAAAAAGTTGTTAAAAGGAGGAGGCAGACAAAGTATCCTCTGTGCTCTCTGAGGATAGGACCAGAATCAATGCGCTTAAATTGCAGCAAGGGCGGTTTAGGTTGGACATTAGGAAAAACTTCCTAACTGTCAGGGTAGCTGGAACGAATTGATAGTTGGAAGCACTGGAACGAATTGCCTTCGGAGGTTGTGGAATCTCCGTCATTGGAGGTTTTTAATAACACATTAGACAAACACCTGTCAGGAATGGTCTAGTTATTACATAGTCCTGCCTTCAGTGCAGGGGACTGGACTAGAGGACCACTTGAGGTCTCTTCCAGTCCTACCCTTCTCTGATTCTGATTGTGACCATGTCTAAGTCCTGACTTATATTTCTGATGGAATCTCTGGTATTGACTCTGAACCTGGTTGTGGTTTTACTAGGTTTCTATTAGAAGGTTGATTTTAGATTGCCTAACTCAGGGGAAAAAATTGGTTATTTCATAATTTGTCCAGTGAGGGGTTTCTTACACACTCTCCTCTGAAGAATCTGGTACTGGCCCCTCTGCAAGAGACAGAATACTGGACTAGATGGACCACTGATCTGATCTGTAATGGCAGTTTCTATATAATGTTCATTGACTCAGTGCCTCCATTCACATCTTATTGATTCTTTTGTCCCAATGCATTGACAATATATTAGCTTTGAAAGGTCCCGTAGAGAATACTGTATTGCTGATAAACATTGGCATACAAGGAAAACTTATTTTTTTACATGGTATCCTTCATACAAGTCCCAAAAAGCTTTACAGGGCAAGTTGGTCATAAACTCGAGAGAACAGTAAGGTTTGAATATGAATTTTAAAATCTGCTGACATGGAGGAAAGGGAGCAGGGGACAGATATTTCCAGTAGGTGGGGCAGCACCATTGAAATAGCAAAACTCGCCCCACTGTAGAAAGCAGCGGTCACAAGCAGTTAAACAAAAATGACCACATTTCAGTTGAAAAGCCTGTGTTATAAACCCCTCAAAAATAGAATTTGTAATGGAAATAGAAATGTGTCTGTGGTGGTACTACTAGGCACTGGTATAATAAGAGGATTGCATTCACTGCATTTAGAGTATCAACCAAATGATAGTGCATGACCTTTGTCATGTTTCATTAGGGGAGTTCTTTCCTAGGGGCTAATACAGCGAGTTGCCAAGGGTTGACACAGCGTGGAACTTTACTCAGCCTGGCTCCAATAGCACTGGTTTCCCCGGAGGAGCTATGCTCTAAGACACTGTGGTTTCATTTATTCCAAGTAACGACTGAGCCAGTATGAAATCTCCACAAGAACAACATCACGTTGTTTGCATTATCATTGAGACATTACTCTACCAAACTCACAGATACTGTTTAGTGATGAGTTTTGTCCTTTTCCATGACATAGATACAGAAATGGAGAAAAAGCTACATTCATTGGAGAAATTAGCTGAGAACTTAAGGGCACACTGTCAACTTGAAAATCATCCTTCTGTCTGAAAACATTTTACCTACCATCATTACAAGTTATATATAAGATTTCTATACCTGAAAATGATTAGAGGAGAAATTCTCTCTTTCTACTTTGTCCACAGTTCGTGTAGCGACAATTTCACTGTTTTCCCTGTGTAGTCATTTCCTCCTGTTGTTTGTGTGTGTGTATCTTTGTCTTTCACACAACATAGAGAAATCTTGTTTAAAAATAAGCAAACGTGATCGTAAAATCACAAAAATTGGCAGAGGAGTAGAAGCTGAAACTACTATCAACTTTTTTTAAATTTACCAGAATTCAAGTTGATGCCTGTTTCAAAGGACAGTGTAATCTTTCACCTCATAGACTCTCTGATATTATAATCAGTTGATTATTATTACTTGTATTATTTGTATTATGGTAGCACCCAGGGATCCACAGGCATGGACCACGACCCCATTGTTCTAGGCACTGTACAAACACAGAACAAAAAGACAGTCCCTGATCCAAAAAGCTTTCAATTCATGCAAAGCTGACCACCGCATCTATGTGAGACCCTGTTGACATCTGTGGATTCCAGTTGGGCTACCCCATGCCCACATTGATCAGACTGCAGGATTGGGGCCATAGATTGTAAACAAACAGCTGTATATTGTGAATAGTGCCTTACATTATTAAAACTGAAATAATTTTAAAAATACATTATTTTTTGACTCTTTATACTTATTTATTAATATTTTGAAGAGTGTGTGTGTGTGTGTATTTTATTTATATATATATATATATATATATAAAATCCTTCATATATCACTTATCCTCTTGGATTGTAAGCACTGTGAGCCAGAGACCATGTCTTCCTGTGTATTGCCCTAACATATTGATGCTCCAGATTTTGAGAGATCTGGCTACTACTGCAATAGTATTGTTAATCATAGTAATACTTTGACTATTTATGTTCTGATTTACTTTTGTCTCAGATGGACAATGAAAACAATTTGTCAGTTTCACCTTTGTTGATACTCAGTTTCATTTCTTGCTTTCAATGTTCAATGTGTTAGGGTTTGCAGACACAGCAGGGGAATGTTTTATCTGTTTGTCATTGGAATTACAACAATTTTTGAAAATATATCTAGTATTTTAGGCTCTGTAAAAGCTTGGTTTTTTACAAAATCTAAGTTTTGGACCTGATCGACATTGTCCCCTTTAAAGCAGTTTGTTTTTATATATGTTTATAAAAGTTCAGGGTCCTCTTCTATTTTGCCAATATGATAAATGCCCACTGAAGGTTTAGGACTTCTTCATATCTCCTGTTTGCTAGCAGCCTGACAGACAAGATCATGAGACCAGAAGGCCCAGGAGGAGACCTGCAGTTCTCCACTAATGCCAAAATGAATATGGTGAACCGGCAGTTATAAATATCTACCACTCATGAGGCTTAGTTCAAAGTTCACCATTTATTGTACTACAGATTTTCTGTATGTGACATAAATGAGATGTAGACATTCTCTCTCTTTCTCAGGTTTTTTTAGGCAGTTCATCAATATAGTATCTAGGCAAAAAATAATATTTTTAAAGATAAACACACAGAACATTGAATTGACCTCTGGCCTTGCCCTCCCAGTTTTGGCCACTTTAACTTCAGTTTTTTGTTGTTGTTGTTTTCATTCTCCTCCTCCTCTTCCCCCCTCCTTCTCAATTTTGATAAGACACTTTAAAAAAATGGTACCTTTTATTTTAGTCTTCACAGAAAAATATTGCACTGCTAACCACGTGGATAAACTTCCTGGCCCCAGAGACTGGGTGCAGATTCTACAGGATCAAATTAAACTGGCAAGAAGACGGTTAAAAAGAGGCTCAGGTGAGCATGACAATGTCCGAAATAGCAACTTAGCATAAGACTAAAGTCATAGAGCCTGATGTTTTTCAGAGGTCAGCTGAGCACCCACTGCTCCCCTTGACTTTAATTGTCGTTGTGAGGGCTCAGTACCTCTGAAAATGAAGCCTGTACGCTTTTGGCATGTTACCGCTAGAATGCAAGATGTGGTGTTTTGAATGGTAATAGTCTTAAAGTATGTCTTCACTCTAGAGTTAAGTCAGACTCTTTCTCAGGTGTTGCCTCTAAGCCCTTCCTGTCCACCATACACACAGCCATCTCACCTGAGTTTAGTGGTGCTTTAAGCTAGCTTCCCAGCTGGGGCTATAGACTACTAGAGGTTAGGGGCTGCTTTCACTCGTGCTGGTAACCTGCCCACTTCTCAGTGAGGACACAGGCTAAATTTCTCAAATGCTGAGAGTCCTCCAGTACCTTTCCACAATTCTCCCCCATGCGCCCAAAGGGACAGACAAGTTCTCCCACAATTCACTGAGAGAATCATAGAGCTCAGTTTACTGCGGCCCAAAGAATCATAGGATCAGAGGTGGATTACTGTTTTATGGGGCCCTGGGCCAGGGCAAGTGGGGACCCCTTCTCACCCCTTCCACTTGCAGTCCCCCCTCCCACTGGCACTCCTGCTGGGGAAATGGGTGTGGGGTTTGCCCCACCCAGCACGGGGATTGGGGCACGGGGGCTTGCCCCGCTCCGCCCGCCTGGTGCTCCTGCCGGGGAGCGGGGTCGGAGGGCGCAAGCTTCCCCCACTCCCTGGCAGGAGGTCCGGGTGGGCGGAGCGGTGCAAGACTCCATGCCACATACCCGCTCGCTGGCAGAAGCGCCTGGCGGAGGGGGTTGGGACACGGGGGTGCCCAATTGGCCTGGGCATGGGCCTCATTGGCTTAGTGGCTAATCCGCCACTGCATAGGATATGTCCCCAGAAGTCTTAGCACCTGACCCCCATTGTGTGAGGCACATCATTTGCATCACACCAATAACCCTTCCTTACAGCCACCTTTCTTAGGGCATGGCTACACTGGAAACTTCAAAGTGCTGTCACAGGAGCACTCCCACGGCAGCGCTTTGAAGTGCGAGTGTGGTCGCGCGCGAGTGCCGGGAGAGAGCTCTCCCAGAGCTCCTGGTAATCCACCTCCACCAGGGGATTAGCTCCGAGCGCTGGGAGCGCGGCTCCCTGCGCTCGGAGCCTGTTTACACTAGCGCTTTAAAGCTCTCTGACTTGCTGCGCTCAGGGGGGTGATTTTTCACACCCCTGAGCCAGCAAGTTAGAGCGCTATAAAACGTATGTGTAGCCAAGCCCTTAGTTTGCTTTCTTTTTTTCTCTCTTCCTGCTCCTCGCTGCAAATAAGTGCATTGTTTCTGCTGGTTTAAGGAACAAGGAACAAGGAACTAGATGAGGCACCGAACCCAAGTGTCCGATATGGCAATATAAAGCTCTAGGCTTCTGGGCCAACTGGAGTTATTCTAACCTGTTGAAATTGTGTGTGTTTATGTATTACCCTTTTTTTTAAAAATTCCATAGTGAATTCTAAAGGTTGAATATTCAGCTGGCCAAAGAGTATGAGATAGATCATGGCAGATGAATGAACTGTTGCCGTTTGCTGGATCCATGCACCAAAGAGCCAACATTTTCAGTCCTGAGCTTTGTCTGTAGCATTCGGTTAGGCAAGTATCTGAGGTAACTGTGCAAAAGCTGAGGCATTCTTTTATCACACAGTTCTGTCAATACCATGGGAAGTACACAGAAAAGTGTAAGGGTGTAAAAGAAAGGAGGAGGTGAAATAGAAACAAAAAGGAGGAAAGAAGTGCAGATCATTTGCTAGCATAAAATAATGCCCCTCTTCAAAAAAGGTGAGTTTACCAAATCCCCTAGACTATCAAGCCGACTCTCTGCCCTTGAACATGAGGTTATGAGGTGAGCTTGCTAGTGAGAATCATCAGATTGCTTGTTGTTGCACAGCAGCATCCTTTCCTACCATTGATGGAGGCTTCAGAAGGCTACCTATTCCTCCTCAACTGGAAGAAATATACTATGGTGCAGTTCTTCAGTGACATGAAGATTCATAGATTCATATGTGCAGTGAAGGAGGCAGGCAGGGAGAGAGACTGGGGGCCCTTGGGGTGTCTGCAGAGATGCAGAACTTTGTGAATAACTCCATTGACCTAATTTGATTTAGTTTGTTTTGAATATATTTTCAACATTCTTGTTTGCTTTTTTTCGTGTGCCTCTCCAGGATGTTAGCTAGGGCTGCAGCTCTACCGTGGGAGTTAGCAGTGACTGTACAGGTTTTCTTTTAAAGAGGGGCCACCAGGAACCGCCCCCACCTATGCTCTTTCCCCAGTATTGGGGAGCCTAAGTGGAGAATGCTGCATCTCAGCCTTAGCGGTAATAGGCTTCCTATGAAAAGATGAGTGAAACTGAGGCCAGTATACTAAACTAAGTGGGATACTAACTATGCCTGCCGAGAGATGAGAACCAATCAACCCAGTGTGTGGCTGGACAATGAAAAGAAATACAGTAACCCATTAGTCCCATTTTCCAGTTACTATACGGAAGCTGAATTGTTGTAAAGGCTCTTTATTTTACATTGTTTCTTATATTCTACTGTATTTTTTTTCTACTGGCCCTTCACCTACATCCCAATCTCTCTGGGTCTGGTTGTCCTCTCGCTTAGGCCTTGTCTATACACAGGTTGTACCAGTATAGTTAAAGTGGCGCTATCTGCCCAGAGTGGATGCAGTTATATTGGTATAACGATGCTTTATACAAGTTTTTTGCTATTCCCATATGGAAAGGGGAATAATATATACTGGTATAACTTCATCCCTACTAGGAGTTGTGCTGGTAAAACAATTTTTTAAAAAAAAAATTACACCCTTAATTGACATACACTGGCACTAAAACTAAAAACTGTCTGTAGATCTCTAAACTTGTAAATCGGGAGTAATTCCACTGAAGTCAATGGAGTAGAAGTAGAGTAAGTGAGAGGAGAGCTAGGCCGGGAGGTGAAATTCTGGCCTTTTCAAGTTAATGACAAAACTTCCATTGACTTCAGTGAGGCCAGGATTTCATCTTCCATATGTGGTTGCTTTTTTTTCTTCCTTGTTTACTTCATCCTCAGTTCTGACATCATCACAGAACTATGTAATAATCTTCCTAGCACAACATGCTAACAAAAGAGTTCTCAGAGCAGAGCTGTAGCACCTTGGGGCTAATTTCTTTCTTGCTTCCAAAATGCTGCTTCATGTTTTAAAACCAGATCTCTTTATTCTCGCTTTAAAACTTTGCATAATGAACGTAGTGCCTGGGAAAAGTGCTGGTCTATTTGGCGGTCCCAGAGACTGACATTTATTATTAGGGAGCACAGATATGCAGTTGGTGTTGGCCGTGCAAGCTTCCCCCACACTCCACCTGCCGTGGAGAGACCAAGGTTAGCAGTCTGTACTCTCCAGGAGTGAGAGTATAGGCTGCTAACCTAGTACCAAAGGCAATGCTTTGTGATGGGGATGCTTTGCCATTAGAACACAAACTGGAGTTTGGTCTGAATTCTCAGGCCCATATCCACAAAGGTATTTAGGTGATTCATTCCCATTGACTTCAGTGTGCCTCAGTTGCACCAGTTTACTTAAATGTGTGATTTTTTAAATGTACAGTGTTGTTGTAGCCATGTTGGCCCCAGGATAGTAGAATGACAAAGTGAACGAGGTAACATCTTTTATTGGACCAACTTCAGTTGGTGAAAGAGACACGCTTTCGAGCTCCGCAGAGCTATTCTTCAGTACTGGGAAAGGTAATCAGTGTGTCACAGTTCAATATAAGGTGGAACAGATGTTAAGCATAAGGAGTTTACACAAGTTGCAAGAAACTGTTCAAAATGAAGTTGGCAATTAAGATCTTTGTGGCATAGGACAAAGGAGAGAGAGTGGGTTACAAACTGTTGTCATGAGACAGTGTCTCTATTGAGTCCATGATTTTTGGTGTCTAGCAGAGTTATGAATTTAAGCTCCCAGGCTTGTGTTTTGAAGGTGTTATGCAGCTTTCCTTTGAGGACAAGGACTGAGAGATCAGATGTAGAGTGATCATTTTCTACAAAGTGTTCGCCCGGGGGCGGGATAGGGTGTTTTTGTCTTTTATCATTTTTCTCTGTGAGTTCATTCAAGAGTGTAGTGATTGTCTAGATTCACCCACATAGTTGTTGTTCTTGCATTTGATGCACTGGCTGAAGTACACCACCTTGTGATAGTCATGTGTAGGACCATGGATCGTGAAAGGCATGTTGTGGGAAGTATTGATCATCACAGCAGTGGAGATATGGCTGCAGGTTTTGCATCTATTGCTCTGGCAGGCTTGACTTTGAATTGGTGTGTCCTGGTCTTGTGGGTAGCTTACTTCTGATGGTAAGCTTAGTGAGGCTGCGGGTGTTGTTTGAAGGCCAGAAATGGGAGTTCAGGAAACCCTGGTTTCTTGCAACGTGTGTTCTTTCACCAACAGAAATTGGTCCAATAAAAGATATTACCTCACCCACCTGATTTTTAAGTTGATTTATGCAACTTCTAGTGCAGACACTCTTAAATCAGTTTAAGCTCTGGTCTACACAGTTTTTGTAGTGCTTTAACTATACTGGTATAGAAACAGATTTAGTTACACTAGTACAACCCTATAGTTATAGCTGTATACATGTGTAGGAATAAACTGTAAGACACCTTTTTTATTGGTATAACTGTGTCCACCGATGTAACTGTTTCCATACAAAATCACACCCCCTACTGAACTAGTTGGATCAGTCCATAAACAGTGTAGTCCAAATCAGAGGGGTTGTCTACATAGAAAAATTTATTCAAATTGAGGTAGTGTGTGTAATTAATTAAAGAACGACTATTCCTGATTAACTCTATGTGTGGGTGCTCTGATTCTGGAATAACTCCCCATGTATAACTCCCCAGACGTATCCTAAGGGCATGGCTACACTTGCAGATGTAGAGCGCTGGGAGTTAAACTAGCCTTCCAAGACCGCAGCAGCGAAAGTGCTGCCCTGTATTTACACTGTCAGCTGGAAGCGCACTGGCATGGCCACATCAGCAGCTCTTGCAACGCCACAGAGAGCAGTGCATTGTGGTAGCTATCCCAGCATTCAAATGGCTGCAATGTGCTTTTCAAATGGGGGGGAGGTGGTGGAGTGTGACAGGGAGTGTGTTGTGTGTATGTGGGGGGAGAGAGAGTTGGTTTTTGGGGTGCTGAGAGTGTGTCAGCCTGCTGTCTTGTAAGTTCAGAGAGCAGCAGACCCCCGTCCCCCTTGCCTCTCTCTCTCTCTCTCTCTCTCTCTCACACTCTCTCACACACACACTCACAGCAAGCAGCATTCCACAGTAATGGTTGCTTTGTCCTGGAGCAGATAAGCAGCCGGCTGTCAGAAACAGAGCTTTGAAAGGGGATAGCCTCATTCCTATAGCGGAATTCAAAACAATGACAAGAGTGGCCACTTGACTTAAGGGGATTATGGGATGTTTCCGGAGGCAGATCAGAGCGCAGTAATGCAACACCTCGTTCACACTGACTCCCAGGCCTTTCAGCCAAGGTGCAGCAAACATGCTTCTCATGGAGGTGGATTACCAGGAGCTCTCCAGCTGCAGAGTCCAGGTGCTCTACATGCCTTGCCAATGTGGACGGGTTGGGAGTTAGGGCGCCTGGGGCTGCTTTAATGTGCTCTAACTTGCAAGTGTAGCCAAGCCCTAAATTCCAAGGTGCCTAAAGATCTTATTTGCAATTGAGTTAAGCTAAACTGGTTTAAGATTTTGTTAAACTGATATAAGAGTGTCCACATTGGTGGGTTGCACCAATTTAACTAATTCAATTTCTAGCTAAGCTGGTGCACAAACTGTGTGTGGACAGGCTTGAGACCACTGTTTTTTTTTCACAAATGCCACCAAAAGCCATTTGGCCCCTTCTGAGTTGGGCTGAATTTGAACTGCTGACTTGAAAGGGAAAGGCTCTCTATTCCATTACCAATCCTCTGATGCATTCAGTCCACCCTCTGACTGGGTTTTCTATTTAGGCCAAGTAGCTATTTGCATGTCCAAATGATGACAAATTATGTTCATGTGTAATCTTCCATGCTCAATCCTGTGGTTTAATAATTTGATAAGATAATGATGTAAACACCAGTGTATTCCCCTAGCTGTCTGTGGCAGTAATACCTTGAGAACTCCAGCAAATGGATGGGGAGGATCTGCTTTAGTGCTGCTTTCTTTAGTATTTACCCTCTTGAGTATTTTCAAATTAAATGATATTCTGATCACAGGATCATAGCTGTTGTCCAGCTTCAACCTTATTTATCATATTTGGCTCATTTCCTAGAATTAGGTACAGAATAGTCTCTGCCTGGGAAGGCTAATCAACAAACTGTTTTTTAAAAACCCCTGTTCTCTCTCTAGAAAAAACTTCTCCTGGGTAGGTTTTGAAAGGTTGTTATCCTAATACAAATAGAAATTAATTTAAGGTTAGCATCCGCTATAACATTTTTTCATAACTGGAAGTAGTCTTATTTTGCTTTGGATTTTTCTCAGTCCCATTAGATTATTGCCTTAGATCTGAGACTTGGGTTTTTTCTTTTAATTTGCTAGATCTGAGAATAAAGCTGTCATTGCCATTAAATTTTTATTGGCCTTGTTCAGTCTTTTCAAATTTCACAAGTTGGCTGTCACAAGGGAGGAAAAAGACTTTGAGGTTAATGTTACAAATAGAAGTTATAATTAAAATAAAATAGCATGATAATATTCTTCACCTTTGACTATTGGTCCCACTTCATACAATTGGCATGGCCAAAAAAAATCCACATGTTTGTGTGCATTCTGGGGCACTGGATCATATTGCCAGTTTTATCCCCTCCACAACATCTAGGCTCAGCTCTCTGCAGCTGCTGGAGAAGAAGGGCGTATGGCCAGGGAAAGAGGGACATGAAGTTGAGGGAAAATCAAATGTATACATTTCCCTTTTTAGAACAGGATAAATTACAATGCAAATTGCATTGTGATTTACAGCTGCCCTGACCAGCAGTAGCTCCCATCGTGTAGTCTTGCCATGCTACAAAAGGGGAATATGGCTAGGTGGTTAGTGGACCTGCCAGCGACAACACAGCCAGAGACGCAGCTGTTGGCGCAGAGATTTAAGGAGGGCCATGAATGGGCTAGTCTCAGCAGGAAACAGCCCTGCTGTTCTCATCATCTCTGCGTCGAAACCTTCTGGCTATTCCACTCTATCTCCAATAATAAAAAAAATGGGGCATGAGCCACACATCTCTTGTGATAAGTCCTCTCTCCCTTTTCATGCCTTGAAAAGGATCTGAGCCATTATTTAATGGCAGTATGTTGCTAAAAGCCTCCATATAGACAGGAATGCTGGTACAGTATGACTAAATGCTCCTAAAGCACAGCGTGAGTAAGAGCTCTTCATGCAATATGATTTTACTGATTAACTCAAAAACCTTTAAATACTGTACATAATAAAGGAAAATGAAGCGGCACTATGAAATCTGCTCAAACTTTTCAGGTGTGATTGGTGTGAAGTAGTCACCTGACATGATGGTAGTAGTTGCATCATTGTACTATTGTTTATTTTAAACATTGCCTGATTACAATGGAAAATGCTGGGGGCGAGAGGAGAAATTTTTTTAACAATATTAAATCCATGCTGGACTGTGCTGTCTCTCCCACCCATGTGTTGAGACCTCCACTCCATCATTACCGCATCTTCCTATGTCTCATGTGGTATTCTTCTCCCCTTCTGTTTGTGTCTTTGCCCCTCCTCTCAGTCCTCTGCTTTCTCTGGTCCTCTCTTCATGATATAATTAATGCACAAGGCATCTGTGTCTTGTGAGATAGCAGATCCTTGCTAGTGCTGATTTATGTTTAGCAGCAGACACAAGGGCAGATAGTATGTTGGATGGGAATCACAGGAGTAACATTATGCATTCCCGGCCAGTATTTTATCTAGATTAAGTAGAATAAAGACAGCAGAACTAATAAGGGCAACCTCTCTATTAACCTCTTCATTCCTGCACATACATGCTTCTGTGCAAGCAGCAAAATAGCAGGTGCACATTTACCAGACAGGTACATTCCGCAGTAGCAAAGTGATTTTGGAAAAAGGTCTGAAGGACATGGCTACAGGAGTGTTTACAGCAGTTACCAAACTATTTCTAAACAAAGAATATAAGAGAGTTTCAAAATTCCAATGAGAGGGTCTAATCCTGCTTGCCTTGTCATGCAGGTAGGCTCATTGAAGTCAAGACAAGTATGATTTGGCTCATGGCCAATGGATGTGGTGTTTGAAGGCAAACCACATCTTCCTGTTTAGAATGGAATGTGGAAGGGTGATCTGCCTCAGCATTTGTAGGGTCAAGGTGTTCATTACTAATTTGTGAACTTGAACTTAGCTTGACATGCTTCCCCGATAGTCATCTGAAACATCTTCTGTTGGGAGCCAAGGGAGCTCACTGGATGAGGGCTCTGAAATAGGCTGTTTAATGTTGGCTCTGAGCAAGTCATAGTGCTTTAATACCTTCAGCTATTTAAAAAGTAAACTAATTCTTGTTTTCAGTGAGTTTGGTGCTGTTTGACAACACTGTTAAGTAGGGTGACCAGATGTCCCATTTTTATAGGGACAGTCCCGGTTTTTGGGACTTTTTCTTATATAGGCACCTATTACCCTCCACCCCGTCCCATTTTTTCACAGTTGCTATCTGATCAACCTACTGTTAAGGGTAATCAGCACAAATGACCCAGTTAAGGACATGCACTGAATTTGGTTGTTCAATATATCTGTATTACTTTGGCCAGTTTTTGATATCTGCGAAGTCGGGGGCACACTACAGTGGGAATGTACCCATTGCTTTATGACCATGATCCTCTTGGGGAAAAAAAATATAAATATCAATATATAAGGAGTGGTACATGAAATAATAGTACAGAGATGGTGTATTGGAGCTCCTGCTTACTCTTCTTGCCACTAGAGATTAAAATCTTAGCAGTGTTCAAAAAAGATGTAGAAATTTGTGTGTGTAATGAGAACATCTGAAGTTACATTAGATGGGGTGTAGAGCCTGATCCAAAGCCCACTGCAGTCACTGACAAGACTCTCTTTGGCTTCAGTGGGCTTTTGATCAGTCTTGTAAATTCTCATGCTTCAGGACATAAGCCAGTAACTAAGGGCCAGATTTACAAAGGGATTTAGGTGCCTAAAGATGCTGATAAAACCTACTGGGTTTTACAAAAGTGCCCAAGTGAATTTGACACCTAACTCCCATTGACTTTCAGTGGGAATTAGGGGCCTAATCTACCCAAGTAGGTTCCAGTCTGCATCTTTAGGTGCCTAAATCTTTTTGTAAATCTGGCCCAAACTGATTAGGGTTAGGAAAAAAAATCACTTTGGGCAGGCTATTACATAGTGGTCACATTCGGGGATTCTTGCACCTTCCTGTGAAGCATCTGATACTGGCCACCACTGGAGACTGAATACCAGGGTCAGTATTACCACTGGTCTGATCTGGGATGGCAATTGTTACGTTAAATTTACAAAATTATTGTAAGGTTCCTATATCAGCAGGAGTTTGAGTTCTTCAAGGGGGCAGTGTATTACTCCCATCCAATGGCCAGCACAACTGCAAATTAATACCCAGACTACCTTTCCTAAGTTTGCATTTTTATTATATGACATTTTCGCACAAGCAGTGACTGTTTAACTGGATGCTAGCAAATTGCACATGAGAAGTGTAGATAGAAAATGCAAAAGCACTCTATGTAGCTTTTTAATCATATTCCTTTATTCAGTAAAAGTAATGAGATTTCTTGTTTATATTTGTAATCAGCAGAGACGACTGACTGCGATGAGAAACTGGACATTTCTCTACTGCAAACAGGTAAAATGCATTAAGTTTTTTATCAGGTTCCACTTCTTTATTTATTTATTTTGCATAAAGCAGTTTTCAATATTCTAGGTATGGCATATACAGTCTGGGTAATCTGCATACAAGGCCCAGATGTCTAAGATTTGAATGCCTAGTGGTTGAAAAAAAAGAAAAGAGAGAGAGTGAGAACATGCACCAGAATTTCACTATTTTTCCCTTGATTTCCTATTCATAAAACCTCCAGTTTGACAGTAACGGCTAAGTGACACAAACCTGTAAGTGATCTTCATGACTCCAGATGGCCACTTGTGCTCATTCATGATATTTCTGGGTACTTTCAAAATTCTTGACACAACATTACTTCCAAGGACTGGCAAAGTAATTTGTATCATAGTGTATTTCAGTTCTGCATTGGTGTACTACTAGCAATAATATCTTGTGTTTACAAAGGGATTGCAAAGCTCTTTATCTGATATGGAAGGATCACTTTTAACCCCACCCCATTCCCTCAAAATGCACCCACCCCTTGAGTCAAACATGACAGTTGTTTAACAGCAAACAGCAGTACTATGCAACAGTCTAGGGCAGGAACTGATGAAGATTTCCATGTGCAATTGAAACTTCTGGTTGGAATTTAAGTAGGTAGGCCAAGATTTTTTTTGGTGATTTTTTTTGAGTGCTGCACTTGAGATACCCTACCAGGACCTGACTGTTAGAAAGTGCTGAGCACATATCCTCCGAAAATCAGGTGTTCCAAGTTGGGCATTCAGAATAACTAATCATTTTTGAAAATCTTGACTATATAGATGGTAATTACCTGTGTTTTAAAATTTCACCAAGATGCAGCTTAATACCGCTAGACCCGAGAAAAATGTGGTAAAAGTCTTGAATGATCAGGACCTTGGGTTTACAGTTTCTCCCTCAGATTAATACAATATAGTGAATACTAATGAAAAAGACTCCTTGGAAATTAGTCACGCAATGTCTGTAAAGAATAAGTGTAGACTGTTTACTGCTAGCAATTGCTATATACAGGGCAGTACTTTAACAGCAGCTCCCCACAGTGCTGTAATGTACCCTACAAACACTCTGTGGTGGTCATGAGAGCAGTATTGCGACACTTGACCCAGCCCACTATCTTCCCAGTAACTCTACATAAGGCTTGTGATGGGTCTTCAGACATCCTCAGTGCTGAGGTGCTATGGGTTGGAGCATGAACTGCTAGCAGTGAGGCACTGGTGGTTGAAATCCTGTTGTCAGACCATGTGGAGTTATTCAGGAGCAGGACCAGGACCAAGGGGACCAGGACCAAGCAGCTATAGTCTTGTTCATGGGGGGCTGGGAGCACATGCTACCTGATTGGAGCTGCAGTGCTGCTTTCTTAGCTACCCACTGAGCATTTCATGGTACTAGTTTGATAACAGATGCAGGAAGCTCTGGTTTTAAAGGTCTCTTCCAAGTGACATCCTGTTTGTTTCTGTTATCAGGGATGGAAGCAATTCTAGTAAAGGAGAACCCTAATAAATGTTATGTTATTATGCAGTGTTATCTTTTCATTGCTCTGGTAAATTTATTCAGTACCAGAATTATTTTATTGGAGCCTAATGTGGTTTCTACAGTATTTCACATCTTACATTATTGGTGAAAATGAATGTGATGCATTGAGACAGCCACATTAGTAAAGAGAGAAGATTTCCATCCTGGGGATCTTATTCTCTTTTCTGCAAGATTTCCAGTGTGTATTTTTGAATGTGTGCAGACTGCATGCCCATATACCTTTGAATATGCATGTGTGCACAATTCTAAGGCTTAATATTTGTCTTGCAGTATATATATCTCCCTGGGATCTGTGGGAGGATGCCTAAATTGACAGTGGAATAGTCATTTTCTTTTTCAGATTGTGTGTGTGGAAGGAAAAAAGGTGAACTCCAAAGGCTTTCAGCCAAGCATTTGAATTTCACACATTATTATATATGTACAAGTGACTTTTATAGAATGACAGGTTTCAGAGTAGCAGCCGTGTTAGTCTGTATCTGCAAAAAGAACAGGAGTACTTGTGGCACATTAGAGACTAACAAATTTATTAGAGCATAAGCTTTCATGAGCTACAGCCTAGTTCGTCGGATGCATAGAATGGAACATATAGTAAGATATAGATTTTTTTCTCCTGCTGATAATAGCTCATCTTAACTAATTAGCCTCTCACAGTTTGTATGATAACTTCGAACGTATCTTTATGTCAGGTTTCAGAGTAACAGCCATGTTAGTCTGTATTCGCAAAAAGAAAAGGGAGTACTTGTGGCACCTTAGAGACTAACCAATTTATTTGAGCATAAGCTTTCGTGAGCTACAGCTCACTTCATCGGATGCATACTGTGGAAAATACAGAAGATGTTTTTATACACACAAACCATGAAAAAATGGGTGTTTATCACTACAAAAGGTTTTCTCTCCCCCCACCCCACTCTCCTGCTGGTAATAGCTTATCTAAAGTGATCACTCTCCTTACAATGTGTATGATAATCAAGGTGGGCCATTTCCAGCACAAATCCAGGTTTTCGATTAAGTGAGCTGTAGCTCACGAAAGCTTATGCTCAAATAAATTGGTTAGTCTCTAAGGTGCCACAATAACTCCTTTTCTTTTATCTGTATGTGTGTGTGTGTGTGTGTGTGTATATATATATATATATATATATAGTCTTACTATATGTTCCATTCTGTGCATCTGATGAAGTGGGCTGTAGCCCAAGAAAGCTTATGCTCTAATAAATTCGTTAGTCTCTAAGGTGCCACAAGTACTCCTGTTCTTTATATAATGTATCAGTAGTTAATATTATACCATTCTTGGGACTAAATCAGTTTAAGTGATATACAGCCAATATAATTATGGTAGTTATAATAAAGGTTACTGAAGTAGGGAGCCAAAATAGATGCCTTCCATCGAGGAGGCTGGTAAAGAAGGTCGATATAACCTTTATAGCGATCCTCACCTGTAGATTAGATTCCCTTGTACAATAGCTGGTTTTCAGCAGAGATGTCACTGGCGGATCATTTAAGGAGAGTCTCGGATGTGATCTTTTCAGCTGGCTTGTGTGTTTAAATTGCAAGCTGTCTGGGGAAGAGGCGCTCTCGTACTGTGTGTTTGTTCAGTGCCCTGCACAATGGGGCCTTGATCTCTGGAGGGGCCTCAAGGCAGTAGAATCATAGAATCATAGAATATAAGGGTTGGAAGGGACCCCAGAAGGTCATCTAGTCCAACCCCCTGCTCAAAGCAGGACCAATTCCCAGTTAAATCCCAGTACCATAAGACAAATAATAAATCAATAATGGTCAAGGGCAAACTGATTATGTTAGTCTTCCATGATGTAGAGAAAACCTTTGACACAGAGTTTGAATAGGATTACTTGAAGGGAGTGCTGCAGGAAGTGGGACTGGGAGCAAGAATGGGATGCTGAATCTATTTATGGTGTGTATATTTAAAACGTTTATTACCTGGGTATCCAAGAACTGGACAAAATTGGGACACAAGAGAGTCCAGAGCAAGTGAATTGAATAAGGTTTGGATAAACATGGACAAATCAGATGTCTTTAAGCTGCATAGAGGGATGACTCAGAGGTGCCCATTCACCCCTTTCTTTGTCCCTGCGGAAAAAATTAAAAAAATCTGAACATGGGGGATACAGGCTGAGGAATCCCAGTATACAGAGGGGTTTAGATCCCTTAGCCTTTGTGCGTACAGTTAGGGAAATCCTGGACATACGATTTCCTGTGTTAAGATAATATGACATCCAAAGGTTTCATTATTTTTCATTATTTTTAAATCCTAAAACCAAGGAAGGATTTTTTGCCTAGCCATATTTCTGTGTTTAGGAGCACAAATCGTGTTGTGGTTAAAAAGTATCTTTGATGCTAATTATTCCCTTCTGCTTAAAGGATTTAATGAACTGGGAGACCTTGAAAGTGAACCAGAAGAATTATGGCTGTTAAATTTTAACTTATCAAAAACTTGGGTTTTGTTTCAAACTTTGTGATTAGGGTCCCCTAGAAAATATTGGTAGAGTTACATATTTGCTTCAGCATAGGCAAAGACAGCCTAGGACCTGCCAAAATCCAAACTGTAGGGACCTGTATTGAGGGAGACCAGGCAGCCAGTGACCCTGATTGGTATCTTGGTGGTGTGGAGACCATGACAGATGTTGGATAAACATTGAGCAGAGTGAATATAGGGCACCCCATTAGGATCTTTAACTTTCCTACTTAAGGAATAGTGGCTATGACAAAAGAGTTTTGATCCTGTCATATGATTTACACTGCATATTTGGAATTAGTGAGGATTAACACCAGTCTGACTCACTTTCCTAAAATATCAAACGGGAACAAATCTAAGCCAACCTCAGCACTGGTGGTTATATATCTTTAGCCAAAACATTACACACTAAGGATGTGTATGTCCAGGGATGCTACAAGGTCCTCTTTAAGCCCCAGCACTCTGCACTGGAGTGAATTTCAAGCTGTGAAAGAATTTGAGACCACTAATAGGAGTACAAATCCCAGTCTTTGGGTCCCAGGGAGATACAGCTTTGTGAAAAGATGGGAACAATCTCTTGCTAAAGAAACAGATAAGAAAATAACTATGAGCCAATCCTGTATGGGCTGCCTCCTTTTCTCTTGGAATACAATGTGAAGAAAATGCTTAGAAACCTCTTCAAACCCTTAAATATAAATCCCTTTATTGTAATATAATTCTTTATCCTTTCAGTGCATGATTCTACAAGTCCTCCCTTTTCATCTTGTTGTATTTGCCTCTTACACTGATTGATGTCTGTCTCGTATACACGCTGTGTTCTTACTTCTATAGTTGTAATTCTTCTGTCCATCTTCCATTGTTCTGTTTAAAAATATACTTTAATGTGGTTTAAAAAAAGATGTGATATAATCATGCAACTTATCTCTGGTTTTTATTCTACCATATGCATTTACAGTATCATGATTTTTCAAGTTTTCCAAAGAACAACCCAGAGTACATACTGTAGGCTTAAAATTCATGTGGTGCTTTGTTCACCTCTTTAGAGCCATATAACTTCAAAGATCTAAGCACTGTAGTGCAGTTTGTACGATATTCTAACACTTTACACCTCACTTCATGTGTTCTGCATTTTGCTAGCAAAACCTCTATTCACAAATTCAATATATAATAGGATCTTTTTTTAGACAACTAAACTGATACCCAACAATGGCCATCTAAACACACAGATAATTCAGCAACCTCACAAGTTCTATATTTGAGTCTCTGACTACTTAACTCATGTAGGTTAATTTGGAACACAATTTTAGGAAATAACTGAATTGGTATAATTTTTTCTAATTTATTTAAATCCTCTCTTTCTTCAGGTAGCATTCTTGAGATCACAACAGATAAGCTGGTCGACTCAAAACCAGATTTTTCTGCTTAAATTTTACTTTCTGCCTCAATGTTTCATTAGCAGATATAAACATCCTTCAGTTTGAATGGCATTCCTGCAAGATCCGTGTAGGCATTTCAGCATACTTCAAGGTGTGAGATGTTCCGTGCAGTTTTCCCTTCAAGTTTGCGTTTTCACCTATTTTTAATGAAACATGGGATAATAAAGCCACCAAATTGTTTCAAGATTTTCCATCATAATTAGAAATGATTTTTTTTCAATATCCAGTACATTGTCTAATTAGTGTGGTATCCACTGCAACTGAATAAATTCCCTTGCCTTTGTTTTTCTTCATGATTGTATTTTCCCACATGATTGTATGCATGCTAACTGTATTTCATCTTCAATTATACAGAAGTAAAATAAAACAGTTCAGGGAGCTGTGATGGAATCTCCCCCCTTCATGGGTCCAGGAAGCTAATAAGAATGTTTGGTTAGGGGGATTGGTTAGTCCCCTATTGTTCGGAAGACCCACTTTTCCTTTTTGCTCACCATTTGACTATGTTTGAAGAGAGATGGTACAAACTGCCTGTCCTACACTGTCTAAATAACAATGCTCACACTGTATTTGACCACAGGGAGACTAGAGCAGGGTACATGCTGATAATGTCCGTTTTAGTGGATAGTATACAGAATGTGTTTGTGAAAGGAGTTGGAGTTCCCAGCCAGTTTCTGGTGCAGTGGTTCTCCAGCATTTTCACTTCATAAAATCTTCCTGCCCCACCTCCTCTCCAGCCTCTCCGAATCCCCCACTGCCTGGTTCTCAAAACATTTTATTTTGTAGACCACCAGGAAAAGGGTTCATGGAGTCTACTCATCCACAGACCACGGTTTGAAAACCTGTACAAACCACCGCCATTTACTGGCACTCTATTGTCAGTCTCAGCAGTTAGGATGAGTGAATTGACCAAGTGATTGAACTACCCTCTCACCCTATAAGCGGCCCCTTTAGGTCAGGACTGAGGCTTACTGATGTGGCAGGGTGGGGAAAATTGCACTGCTGCTCCTTATGCAACATCTCCTGCTGCCCTCTGCACCTTTAACTCTGCACCTTCACCAGCACTAAATTCACTTTAAAAAAAAAATAGAGAGAAAAAATATAGAACTTATCTTATCCCACAGATAGATTGATCACCAGCCAGTTAACTAATAGCGTGCGTTTTCCTGGAACGCTACAGAGTGCAGTAGCCTTTGCCTTCGTGTTTCGTTTTCCTTTGTATATTTTCAGCCCATCATGATGCTTGCTCCTTGAAACTATTTGGTCTTTTTTATCGAGTGTGTTAACAGAAGTGCTATTACAGAGAGTGGGACTGTTTTCAAAATATTTAAAGTTTTTTGCTGCTTTTCGCAAAGAAATACTTGTCATGATCATTAGCTAGCATAAAGACAGGCAGCCTGATTGTCACAACTGCTGAATGCCTGCAAATAACACTGAAGCCAACAGGAGCTACTGATTCTCAGCACCATTGAAAACCAGGCTTTTGATCTTTCCCCTCCCATTTAAAAAAATGTACGATTAAAGGTGATGATGTTCTCTTTAAAACTGTGGACTATATCGAATGTGCACTGCAGACCTTAAAGAGCATTTCCTTCAAAGGCTGATGTGACTGCTTCCCTCCTGGCCTGGATTTCAGAGCAGGGCTGTGGCAATCTACAGCCTGGGCAGCAAATCTGCCAGGTACATGTCACAACCCTTAGCTGATGGAATCAACATTTTGTAAATTTTAAAAAATTGCATTTTGTGTTTACTTACTGTGACTACTGTTCAGACTTTCTTCAGCAATCTTTTTATGGGGTTTATTAGAAAAATCATTCCATGTTTAGGTAAAGCATCTCAATCTTCTGTATATATGTTTTATTAATATGTAAATATTTAGATATTTTTAAATTACTATGTTCTTAATAAAACAACAAGGGGCTAGTTGTGAAATGGTGTATAATGTTGTGTTGTGTTACCAATCTCTGGGAAAACCCTCTTTGTCAGTTCAGAAAAGAAAAACCCACAATAAATTACTTTAATTGAACATGTGTCTTCTGTGTTATGTACTAGATGTCCGTATTTCAGAAGGGGGTACCTGTTAATTCAAAGATCTTTATTAATATTTTAACAGCCTTGTACAAAAAAATGGCATTTGCAGGGAAGCTTATGGAAAAACCCATAGCAATAAGATTTTCCCAACTACCTGAATTTTGAACTATTTCGCCTGCCAATCAGAAAAATGGCTATATGAAATCTCATAAGTATTAAGTGCTGATATGCTTGAAGTCTAATTTTAATTGAATTAGTCGCCTTTATAATCTTCACTTAAAAGGTTAAGCTCCGCTTCTATGGAAACAACACATAGGAAAGACAAACCAGTATTCGTAATGCAAAAGTAGCGGCTACAACATATGTCTTCATAACTTATTACAGTAGAACACCAGAGTTATGAACTGACCGGTCAACCACACACCTCATTTGGAACTGAAAGTATGCAATCAGGCAGCCAAGACCCCACCCCCACCCAAAAAAAAAGCAAGTACTGTGTTAAATGTCAACTTCTAAAAAATAAAGGGAAAGTTTAAAAAAAAATGTGACAAGGTAAGGAAACAGTTTCTGTCTTGTTTCATTTAAATTAAGATGGTTAAAAGCAGCATTTTTCTTCTGCATAGACGTTTCAAAGCTGCATTAAGTCAATGTTCAGTTGTAAACTTTTGAAAGAACAACCCTAACATTTTGTTCAGAGTTACGAACAACCTCCATTCCCGAGGTGTTTGTAACTCTGAGGTTCTACTGTATCACACCTCATCAAACATTGTTTAGCCATAGAAAATATTTCCTGTGAAAACATGTTCATTAGTAATAATCAATCAATTACAATGGCCTATTGAAATGAATGTGCAGCCAGCCACACCTTGTCTATTTTATATAGTAGCACCTGTGAGGAATTGTATAGTAAAACGTCTCATGGTCATTCCATTATAGATCTCAGAGGTTGCATTGAGCTTCTGAAATCTTGCATGCCTGTACAGAGCTTGAATCCGTTAAATGACTTTTAATTGTAGAATATCTTTTTAAAAATTGTTTAGCTGTGTTCACTTCGGTCTTCCAGGTAATTAAATTGGTTTCCGATCCAAATGTATTTCATAACTCCTACCATGAATGCTCATCGAGCTTGATGGAACAAATCACAAACACATTAGTAACTTTGCTGAACTGCCCTGTGCTGTACTACTTAGGTTGTCTCAGTGTGATTTGAGTTTGTTTTAATTTTGTCATCTTTTGTTTTTAAATGTATCTAAATATGAAATGTAAACTTCTAAAAATATTTTTACAAAACCTAAATTGGAGCTTAAGCTACATGACCAGTGTTGTCATTATACCATCAAAAGCCAATGCATGGTCAATCTTGCTATTTACTATACAAATAAATATCAAATGTTATTGTAGGGCTGCCATTTCACACAGTTGAGACGGCTATGTAAGTGCTAGCAAACAAGCTAGCCACCGGTGCTTCAATTAAAACGTCAGCGACCAGTGCCTTGTCATTTGACTAATATGTTCATCTAAGCTATTTACAGGACACTAGAGATTATTACTTTGGGGGAAAATCCTTGTGCAGTTTAACAGGAAAAGGATATCCTCTCTGTAACATAAAAGGAAACTCGAGCCTGAGCTTTATAAAAAATGTATTAATTGCAAGACCAGAAGAAAACCATCTGAAGTGTAAATGCCTTTGGCGTGTTGGTTCAGAGGAAAAGGCTGTCTGAGCCTTTGGGATATTAGAAAAACTGTATGAAGATAAACTTTCACACTCTTCGGATCTACTCCACAGCACCTGAGAACAATTCAAGAGCTGGACAAAGAAACACATCAGTCGTAAATTTCATAGAATTAATTTGTGTGGGGGGCAGGAGGGTTCAAAACTTCCCACCAGCTCTACCAGAATCTGATGATTTCATATTGGAAAAGGAATTTCTTCTTAGCTGGGAAAAGGAGGTGATGAGGTCCAGGGGATAAAGCACTGCACTGGAATTCAGGAGATCTGGGTGTCATAGATTAGGTCATCTGCACCTGCATTTTCTCTCCATGGTCCAGCAAGGGCACCCACTGTAGGCTTCAGACTCCCCAGCTATCACCTCTCTTGGGTGAAACCTGTTTCTCTCTCCCTCCTGACTGGAGTATTTTCCAGGCTGCAGTTCTCTGCCTACAGTGTGATATTCCCACCAAGCCAGACTGCTGGAGAGGCCAGCGTCTGTGCTTTGCTTTCTCTCGGAAGGCTCTGAACAGTGTAATTGCCAACAGTCACAGGTTATCTCACAGCTCTTTCTAAGCAAGCATATTTATTCCTAAGGTGAAAGCATTGCAGAGAAAATATATCAAAACAAAAGAACCTAAAAGTATGCTAATGAGATCACCCCATCTCCAACAAGGGCTCTGATAGGAGTCAGTCCTTCAAACCCCACAAAGGGGTTTCTCTGTGGTCAGTTCATGCCAGCTTTAGCTCAGAACTAGCACCTCAATGAATAGCTCAGTTTTTCCTTTATACAGGTTGGCGTCTGATATTGAGCCTTTGGGAACAAGTAATCATCAGACTATGGTCCTCTTCTCCAGGCCTAGCTCCGAAAGGGGCTGGGTTTGCTTAACAGGAGGTGGGGAATTTGCATTCACCTCCCTCTAGAGGTTCCCCAGGCAAATCACTTGACAGTGTCCCAAAACTCCATTCCTGTCTGGCCCATTGTTCAGGACAGTCCTTTGAGGTTCATAACACTTCCCTGTGTTCACATCACCTCTCCTCCCTAAAGAGACGCATAATCCTGGCCCACAATAATAGATAACCTTTGCATTAAATACAACGGACCCCTAAAATGTTTCAACTTAACTCAATAAGGGTTTTTCAAGGATATTGCAGGAAATTGCCACATCTGGCACAATGGGTTCAAGTTCCAGCTCTGCCACTGCTTTGCTGGCAACATTGGGCAAGTTATTTTCTGCTCTGTGCCTCAGTTCCCCATTTGTTAAAAAAAAAAAAAAAAAACTGGGGATAATGATACTGACTTCTTTTGTAAAATGCTTTGAGATCTACCGAAGAAGTGCACTAGCTAGAACAGCCTGGTGTCATCATAATTATCTTCCTTTTGCAGACTGCTGTGAGATCTCCAGTTGGAAAGCACTAAACAGGAACATTAAGTGGTGGTGATGTTGCTGTTATTATAAGAACTAGTGATTATTGCCATAGAACCAGACCTGACGGTGAGGAGATTCCTTCACTCACTGGAACAAAGGCAGAGCTGTCAGTCAGTAGGGTGGCCATTGGAGAGACCCCCTTTCATGAAACACTCCAGAGCAAGCCAATTCCAAAGCTGTAGCAATGATGAACTCCTGCTCTGTCAGCCCCGACCCTGTGCAAAGCCTTAGCTATTCGAGGAAATCGATGGTTTTGTCGCAGCTGAGACTGGGTGCGCAAACAAAGTCTGGCCACACAGATGCTCACCAAAACCCAGACAAATGGCGGTTCACGCTCTGGGGAACATGTCTGCAAAGAATGGGGGCTTGCGTTTGGCCTGGTGCTCCTTTTTACATGCCACCCAGGGAATCTTTCACAGCCTGGCTAGCAGAGGCAATACATGGGGGGGAGGTGCATGCGAAGTCACGTGCCCCACCCCCACCCCCCGCAGTTGCTGCTTGGCTTGTACTGAGCATGCTCACATCAACTGAGCATGCTCAGTAACAAATGCTGAAGCTGCTGCCCTTGTTCTGCTCCCCAGCTACCTGCAGGTACGGGCAGGGCCAGCCCTGGACTAAATGGCACCCCAGGGGAGGAGCGTCTTTGGCGCACCCTCCCCCCCCCCCCCGAATTCATTAAACTTTTGAATTGCTTATTTTTAACTGCATTTGTAGCTCATTTCACAACTTTGATGCCCGATTCGCATGCATGATTTATCCCTGTCGTATAAGAGGATAAATTTGGACGCTAGGATCTGTACATCTGTATTTTATTCATGCCATGTATAAGCAAATAAAAAAAAATGTTTCCTCTAAGCTTATAGAAACTTTTTAATTTTAAGAATAACTGAAATGTACTAACATCAAGATATTGGACTGTGTCCCGACATTGGGTGGACCAATATTAAATAGTGCTACAGTAGGTGACGCCGTTAATATGTTAACCCTAGTCCTTAAATTCAAAAGGTCATTTTTCTCACCTTTGCCTTGGCAAACTGAAGCACAGCATCCGAGAGATCCAAAGACTGGCCAATGGCATTTTCATGTGATAAAATAGCGAGTGACGTCAGTCCCTTGTTGGCCATCGTAGATCGAAGATGTGTTTTAATGAGCCTGAGTATGAGCAAAAAGAAAAGGAGGACTTGTGGCACTTTAGAGACTAACAAATTTATTTGAGCATAAGCTTTCGTGAGCTACAGCTCACTTCATCGGATAATAAAATGCATCCGATGAAGTGAGCTGTAGTTCACAGAAGCTTATGCTCAGCACCCGGCCCATCAGCATAATCCACTGGCGGGCTGCGGGACATTTTGTTTACATTGACCCTCCACAGGCACAGCTAACTGCAGCTCCCAGGGGTTGTGGTTAGCCGTTCCCGACCAATGGGAGCTGTGGGAAACCACGGGCCACAGGGATGTGCTGCCTGCCGCTTCCCACAGATCAGGTTGGCTGGGAATGGCAAACCACAGCCACCTGGAGCTGAAGGGGTCTGTGCCTGCGGATGGTCAACGTTAACAAAACATCTCATGACCCACCAGCAGATTACCCTGATGGGTTGTGTGCCAAAGGTTGCCGACCCCTGTTCTAGACCATTCCTGACAGGTGTTTGTCTACCCTGCTCTTAAAAATCTCCAATAATGGAGATTCCATAACCTCCCTAGGCAATTTATTCCAGGGCTTCACCACCCTGACAGTTAGGAAGTTTTTCCTAATGTCCAGCCCCAACCTCCTTTGCTGCAATTTAAGCCCATTGCTGCTTGTCCTATCCTCAGAGGTTAAGAAGAACAATTCTTCTCTCTCCTCCTTGTAACAACCTTT